TGTTGAAGAAACAAATGAAAACTAGAGAAGAAAAGTGATGGGATGAAACACAAATACTGCATAGGGGCAGAGTACAAACGAAGAAAGTTTGTGGTCAGACTGCTTTTACTAAGAGACTAAAAAGTACATCTGAGCTCTCTCTTGCTATTTGTGCCACTTAATGTTGTTAATATGGGATAAAATGGAGAAAGGAAGTTGAATTCTAGTCTGTTTAGGCTTTATAGCTGTCTTTTCGACCAATTTAAGAACAAACTCATTGAAGCCTCAAAAGTGGGACTGTAGAATTGTAAATGTATCTTCCTCTTGCAGGGAAGTTCCATTACACCTATAAGTCTAGCCCATAACTATAAGTCACCATATCTGGAGGATGATAATCTCGGTGTTTAGATGCATTATACCCCTTCCACATGCATGGAATGGACAACAGGGCTATCATCTTTGCAAGTGTCCAGAGGCTAGAAATATGGGGCTGGACCAAACAAGGTTTTCTGCTGGAAAGAAAGGGAGGAGACATCATATTTGGCCACCCAGGAAGGCTTTGCTAAGAGCCATGGGGCCCGCATGTACCAAACCCAGGGGGTTGGAGTCTGGAGGGGAACTGGGGTGAGTGAAAAAGCCAGCTGGTCACAACAACCCACCTTGCTGGACTAGATAGACCTTGATGTGGTCCAGACCTCGTGACTTTCAGAAAATGCACCTCTGTGCTGGAGCAGCATTATCCTCCCATATGTTGTTTAGAAGATTTCCTAACCCTGCTTCTCATTCTGGTCAATGATTGCTGGCTTCTATTTTTCAATTAAATAATCCCTTCTTCCTTCTCCCTCTCAGAAATGCAATTATCTGAAATGAAATCACCAGCAAGATAGTCTCCCCTCTTCACTTCTGCTTTCATATTCTGTTCTTTGTGGATGAGTTCATTCCCTTCCACATAACAGGAAACAGCTGCTGCAGACAGGCATCCCCAGAAACGAGTTGGCATCATACGGGGTTGTTGTTTTTCCGGGTGGGGAACAACCAGCTTCTCCCACCTTTTGCTGTAAGGCACAGACGTCCTTGTCTTCATGCCAAATGCTGGGTCTGTGATTTGTTTTGGCCTTCCCCACCATTCTCCAGAAGGGCTCTCCAGTTTTTGTGCCTCTTGTGTGTTTACAGTTTTGTTTATTTTGTTTTTAAAAAACCTCAATAATTTTTTTAAAACAGCAAAACTACTCAAGGGGAAAATGAGGTGGGATTCTGGTTCCAACCTGCAGAACCAGTTTTCCCTGAACCAAGTTCTGGAAAGGAATAGGTATGACTACAAACAATGTGGCCTGGGCACTTCCAGAGCACGACACACTTTGTTTTTCAAGTACATCTGCACACACCCTGAGATGATCAAGTGTGGCAAACTCTATAACATCAGTAACCCCAAACCCTGCCTGGCTGAACAGTGAGGTCATATACTGCATGAAGAAGTGCTTCTGGCCTCACGTGCACACGGACAGTTAGATTCAGGTGGGTAGCCGTGTCAGTCTGCAGCAGTAGAACAAAGTTTTGAGTCCAGCAGTGGCACCCTTAAGGCCAACATTCCTGGTAAAAGCGTGTCCAGCAGTGGCACCCTTAAGGCCAACAGAGTTTTAGTCCTGGTAAAAGCTTTGTGTGCATGCACACTTCTTCAGAAAAGGAGCTGCGGTGGCTCAAGGGGTTAAGACGCTGAACTGCAGGCTGTGGAAGGTTGGTAGTTCAGCAGTTCGAGACCCGGGTGCCGCATGATGGAGTGAGCTCCCATCTCTAGTTCCAGCTCCTGCCAACCTAGCAGTTCGAAAGCAAGAAATTGCAAGTAGATAAATAGGTACCACTTCGGTGGGAAGGTAACAGCGTTCCGTGTGTCTTGGTGTTTAGTCATGCCGGCCACATGACCACGGAAACATCTTCGGACAGTGCTGGCTCTTCGGCTTTGAAACGGAGATGAGCACCGCAACCCTAGAGTTGGATTCGACTGGCTTTCAAGCAAGGGAACCTTTACCTTTACACTTCTTCAGATCTGCACAAGTGTGCGTGCATAGAAAAACTTATACCAGGAATAAAACTTTGTTAGCCTTTAAGGTGCCACTGGACTCAAACATGGGCAGTTAGTTTATCTGACTATCCAGTTTGTATACAGAAACACTGGCTCACAACTTCCATACAGATAAACAGAGGTTGTGACACAATGGAGTACAACCTGCATTTACCATCGCTGTCCCCAGAGACCATGGAGATAGATGGTGGATACTATTTGTGTGGAATACCGAAATGCAAATCTCTTCCTCCTGCTTCTCATGTGAAAGTGAGGAATATGGGGCGGGACTCGAGCCTACCCTGGATTTTGAACTCGTAACAGGAACATTTGCAAATGAAGAGTTAGTGTATGTCCTACCACCCAGCCACAGGGAGACCAGCCAAGGCAGCCTCTTTTACCAGCAGGCCCTAATAAATCAAGTGGTACTCTCTAAACTGCAGAAGGTTGAGCATACTTGCTGGGGAGACCAATAAGGAGACGATGCCATGACCTGTCCTGCCTTCTCTTGCTGGTTATGAGCTGTTTTTGCCTTCCTTCATCGTCTGCTCTCCAACTCATGAGCCTATGTGGAAGGTCGGGATATAAATCTAATAATAAATAAATATAAATAAATAAATGGTGTCTATGCACACATACACACCTTCCACAGAACCTTCTTCACACCTTGCCTGTCTTTCTGTCCCTTGAAAACTGCAAAGATTGATAGCAGCAACACATGCAAAGGAACATGAAAGAGGAACCTGTTTCCTTCAATCACTCTGCCAAGACACATGAGGTCAGATAAGCTCCTTCTTGGGCTGTGGTCACACTGGCGGCTTGGCACGATATGGTGCCGCCTCTAATTGAACTGGTTTAAAGCTTTGCAGGACATATCAGCCACACAGCACACCCTGCTGCGGGTTACCCACTGAGACATCTCATGGTAAAGCATCCACATCATTGCAGCGCCTCAGCCACAGAGCGCACTGCAAAAAAACCCACCAAAATTCATGTGTGCGCACAAATGCACATGTGCAGACACATCCACACACAGGCAATTAAAAAAACCACCTCCCTGGCAGCAGAATGGATCTGGAGGTTCAGACTGGCAAATCCGTTCTGCGCGTGCTCCCCCATGTTCAGACATCTGGCCATGCACAATGACTGTGCGGGGAACCGAAAACAACACTTGTGATGTGGTGCCTTTTAAACCCGGCTCTAAGTCATCCTGTGATGGGATAAGTGTGGCTGGGGAACGCCTGACAGATGTGGCTGTCTGACTGCGCCCATTTGATCTGGAGGGGAGGAGTGGCTGTGTCAGGCCAAAGTGCCTGTGTGATCACAGCCTTGGCTTCACTCTGCAATGGTCTTGCAGGTGGGAGGGTGGCAGAGGGCATCTAACCCATGACCCACTGGACCACTGTCCTAGGCTGCCATACAAGTGGATGGTATTACACTCCCACTAGGAATTCTGGCACAGAAGACAGAGGCCAGAGAAACAGTGGACGGACTTCATCAGGAAAAGCCACTCCCCTCCCTAGGCTGCAATCCCATCACCCCAGTGTAATTAGCCACACGTATGCTATTTCACTGATGACTTTCCCTCACCCGATAATAACTGGCTCAGCAAGCTATGACCACTACAGTCACATGACCAAACAACACTGGGCAACTGGATCAATTTTTTCAGTTTAGCCACAGGGTTTAAGGACTGCCGTCTTTATTTCTGTCTGGGTTCCTTGCCTTTTTTCTGGTGCTTTATTTTACCCAGGAAAATTTTCCACTCCACATATGTAAATATGTTTTCTTTGTTTGTAAGCTGCCTTGAGCTCCACAGGGAAAAAAGGTGGCTCATAAATGTTTTGAATAAACAAATAAATAGAAATACAGTCTCTGTTTATCTATAGTTGTCAGAGTCACTGTGCTGCGAATCAATCACGTTAGATAGGCTAAATGTGGGATATGAAGCACGGACAGACACCTGTGCTTGTATATGGGGGCCCGTCCCACCCGCCTCGGAGTTGCCAGGGGTGTGTGTGTCGCTCTCCAGGCCTTCCCTCTGTAGCCAGGCACACAGAGGTTTTGACTGTAGTGGGCGTGGCCAACTTTGAAGCCAGCCAGAACTCCGTTCCTGTGCGTTCCTGCCCAAAAATAGCCCTGGGTGCGGATTTCCCCATCACTGTATCTGTTATGCTGGAAAAAAGCTGCAGCTGTCATTTTCCTACCTGATGTGCACTTTTTAAAACTATAGACGACCTGCCAGAGATTGCAGGTGGCCGCGGCATGGGATTTGGATTTGGGGACCAGAACCCGGAGTCAGAAGCTTTTCCTTCTGCCTCGCTGAGTAGGGCTGCCAGACCTAGAACAACTGCTCCAGAAAAACAAAGGATTACCCCCCTGTTTCCAAAGGGCTCCTCCAGGAACAAATGGAATTATCCCCAGAGCCTGCCATATTGTCTGACCATCCCACCTGGGAACAATGCCGTGCAAAAGGCAGCCAATATAATCGAAGGAAAATCAGATTGCCCGCCCACCCCATAACTCATACCAAAGCAGCTATTTGCCTTCTTGCCAAATAGTCTGGTGCTAATAGCTGCTTGCTTCCCGCGTACCATTAATCACACACTCCTACAAATTGAATGTTTCAACCATAGCAATACATGCACTAGAGTAAAACATCCACCCACAAAGGAAGGTTTTAAAGCTACACGACTCTCACGGCAATGATCTTGCAAGCATCCTGCTGATCAGGTTTTTGAACAACATTCTGTCTTTAAGTTCAAATAACATTGTATCCAAAATACAGCTACAAATTTACACCATATACGGGTTTCCCAGCTTCCAAGAAACTCTTTCCAGGATACTTCATGCTGATAACCATTAAGATCTATAGCAAGTAGGAAAGCACAGGGAATGGTCTTGGCGGAGATCTGCTTAGAGGGAACACAAAATGCAAGCTTCATCTAAGCATTTTACGAACCTGACTTTCCCATGGCCACGTCCTTGATGGCTAGCTGGAGAATCTGCTTTTCGAAACGCTGTTCTTGTTTTGCCGTGAGCTGCCAGCAATTTCCTGGTAGTGCTATGACTCCGTTGCCTGCATGAAATAGACTGAACAATAAGAGTGCAGCCACCCATTTGCAGCGCTCAAGTAGCCCGGCAATGCCTTATAAGGAATAAGGAACTTTTCCCCCCTTCCTCTTAACGAGCTCCCTCTTTGTGGTCAGGGGATATTTATCTAACAGAATAACTCAGCAACCCAAGAAAAACACTATAGTGATTCCACATACCAATTTAGTTATGCAATAGGAAATTTCTGAACACTGGATTGGGCGAAGCTGGTAAAAGTGATGGTACTTGAACATGTCGCGGACACGGTTTTTTAAAAAAGAACAGCTGTCGCAATGTTGCACGTGATGCAAGGGATTCCCGGGAACTGTGCAGTTTCTTCTGTACAGCAATCCCGCACTGTGCTTTGCGAAAGCCACTGTGGCCTCAACAGGCAATTCGAAGTACACACAGGAATGTCCAGCATTTGGCTTTCTCGACACCTGATGTCTTGCACTTGAGGCCGTGGAGACACATTTTCGTCTCTGGGGACATGAAAGTACTCTAGATAGCGTTCGATCCATGGTGGCTGGTTCAGAAGTCCCATACAGCAATCGTATACAGAGTCCTGAGGGATTGAACCGTGTTCACTGGCTCTATAGGGTTGCCAGCCACCACGTGGGGCCTGGGGATCTCCTGGAATTACAGTTGATCTCCAGATGATAGAGTTCAGTTCCCTGAAGTCAATGGCTGCTTTGGAGGGTGGGCTGTATAGAATTATACCACACTAAGATTTTTCCCCTCCCCAAACCCCACCCTCCTCAGGCCCCACCCCTAAATCTCCAGGAATTTCCCAACCTAGAGGCGGCAACCCTAGGCTCTTGGCTTCCACCTACACATATCTGCCTGACATTGGCACAGCACCTGTGTGCGTATGAACTGCAAGGCACACAGGCTCCATCTTTGGAATTGGGAACGCTGCTTTTTTATGGTCCCAATTCTACTCTGCTCACATACAGTTTATGTGAATTTGCTATGCTCATGCACTGGGGCAAATGCACACAGATGGAGCTGGCTCAGTGCTCCTAGCACCACTTCTGTGCAAATTACCCTGTGTCTACAATGTCACAGGTATAGCGCTAGACGTGCAAGTGATCACTTGGTGTTTTGTGACAAGTTACACAAGTTGCCAAGTGGCCTTTAAGAAAAGGACATTGAGGTTCTCTTCTTCTCTGCCCTAACCTGGTTTGCAGTGTTTATCCTGCTTACTACAAACGAGGCGGTGGCTGCAAGTCAGCACTGGGTGTGGTTGGGAGGCAACAAAGATTTATGTTTGTTATCTAGGTAGTTCATGTGTGCATACACTTGTTAAGTTGATGACAAAGATAGTCTTCAGTGTAAAGTCAGTGTGGTGTAGTGGTTAAGTGCGCGGACTCTAATCTGGGAAAAGCGGGTTTGATTCCCCACTCCTCCACTCGCAGCCGCTGGATGACCTTGGGCAAGCCCTAGTTCTGATAAGAGCTGTTCTTGAAAAAAGAGCAGTTTCTGTCAGAGCTCTCTCAGCCCCACCTACCTCTCAGGGTGTCTGTTGTAGGGAGCAGAAGGGGAAGGAGTTTGTAAGCTGCACTGAGACACCTTTGGGTAGTGAAGGGTGGGGTATAAATCCAATCTCTTCTTCTTCTTCTAAAGCCTTTCTGTGTGATCTATTTATTGACAGATGTATCTATCCAAGTCCTTAAAAAAAGAGAGTCTAAGGTTGCTAAAAACCAAACAAATAACACACTATAAAATATAGCATAGTATAAAACAGTCCTAATATGACCTGGATGGTCTACGCTGGCCCAATCTCATCAGATCTCAGAAGCTAAGCAGGGTGGGCGCTGGTTAGCACTTGGATGGGAGACCACCAAGGAAGTCCGGGATCGCTACACAGAAGCAGGCAATGGCATTGGCAAACCACCTCTGCTCATCTCTTGCCTTGAAAACCCGACGGAGTTACCATATGGCGGCTGCGACTTGATGGGACCTTCCGCCATCATAAAACACTGTGTGCATGTGTGTGTTTGCATACACATACAGGCACGACAGCAGCAAAATAATAATAATAAACATAAACAGCAATGGAAAATACCCAGCAGGACAATTATTAGTATCAAAACTAAAGCTATTTCATAACAGCAATTAAACACTTCTCTGGAAGCAGTCAAAACACCAATTTATCTGGCATCAGTAAGAACATCACTTTTTACAGCACCTACTAGAATAGGAAAAAGAGCCACAACTTCAACACCAGGTGAAACAGAAACAACTAAAATGATAGAGCAAGGATGGTGCTAAGCCAGCCTTCTGCTGAAGAAATTTCCACAGTCATAGTACTACCATTCATTGGTGTGGGCTCTTGCACCTCCCCACATCACTGGGTTAGGGCTTTAAATGTGAAAAAACAGCGCTTTGAATTCCAGAAACATCCTGGAAGCCAATAAACATCTTTCAAAGGAAGGGCAATATGGACACTAGGGGGGTGGTCTCTCTGTTAATACCCTGGCCTCAGCACTTTGAACCAGCTGCAGTTTCCAAGAGGTTTTCAAATTGATCCCACATACGAGTGTGTCACAGTACTATAATCTAATGTCAGTGTGACCAGAGCACAAATAATTGTGTATGTGTGTGAAGTAACGTCAAGTCACAGCCAACTTATGGAGACTCCATAGGCCTTTCCACCTACCTCCCAGGGTGTCTGTTGTGGGGAGGGGAAAGGAAAGGAGATTGTAAGCCACTCTGAGACGCCTTTGGGTAGTGAAGGGCGGGGTATAAATGCAATCCTTGTTCTTTTCAGAGTTGGTTGAAACTGAATCCTGATAAAATGGGGGTTTTGTGGTTGGGGGGGTCAACTCCTGGCTCTTTTTTTAATATACTTTTTATTAGGTTTTTACAATAATATGCATACTTATAACATAATTTAAATACACATCCAATTGACTCCCTGTACTTCAAATATATTCTGAACAGCAACAAGTCAACCAAGCCTAATTACATTTTTCTTCTAGTCAGTCACTGAGTAAAGTAATTTTCAGGTACATACTTACATTAATATTTTTAAGATTCAACTTGATCATTTATGAATTTGTAATCTTTATAAATATTAAATCAACCATCCTTCAAAATCCATATTGTTCCCTCAAGACAAGATGCTGAAAAAATTCCTACTAGTTCCAATATCCAATAAATTTTCTGTTTTTATAATAAACATAAGTCATAGGTTTTAAATTTTTATATTATTTTGGCTTGATTTTATTTTTATTTTATTTTATTTTTTATGTTATTATTTCAATATTTTCATTGTCTACCTCCCAACTATTCAAGTCAGGATTGTCCTCAAACAAAACTAATATAACATCCGTAATTAAATTTACTTTAGGAAAATACTATAGCATCAATATAATCTCCACTCATTTCTTGAGTATCTTCCATACATTAATTCCATTATATTTTGTCACTATGCATAATCACTTTTCTCTACAACATACATATTCAGTCCCCAAAATTTACTATCACATGCCTAATTATCTCCTCCAACATTTAAATAATTTTAGCATAACCCTCTTCCATTCCATTTGATTACCTTCTATAGCTCTACTATCTCTTTTTTACCAACACCCTTTAATTTATATCCCCTCACTCTTACTACTATTTTCTATAAACTAACAGCACATTAATCTGGTCAGTTCATTCCAATTTACTCAGTCTCAAAAAGAAAAGAAAAGTTACATAAACATTTTTACATTATTCAGGTCAATTCATTCCAATTTACTCAGTCTCAAAAAGAAAAGAAAAAAATTACATAAACATTATTACCTACCCCTTTTCCTTTTAAATATATCTTGATCCAACCTAGTTTATCCACTTTTATATGCCTAATTATCCACTCCAACATTTAATTATTATTAACTTAACCCTCTACCATACAACTTAATTGCCTTCCTCATGGAATCAAGCCATAACATTAATTCAAAAGCCGAATACGGATGATAATGAAATCAAAAATTACAGACCAATATCGCTATTAAATACGGATATCGCTATTAAATACGGCTTATAAAATTTTTGCTTCAATACTAGCTACAAGATTGAAAAAAATTCTAAAAGTAATACATTAGGATCAGGCCGGATTCCTTCCAAAAAGGCAAATCAAGAATAACATCAGAACCATAATAAACGTCCTAGAGTATTATGAAGTACATCCAGATAAGGAAATGATGCTAATATTTTTAGACGCTGAAAAATCATTTGATAATGTAAACTGGAAATTTATGTTACAAAAGCTGGAAGCTTGGAATTGTGGTCTAAATTTTCTAACTATGATTAAAGCCATTTATAAAAGACAAGTCGTGAAAATACAAATAAACGGTGACATCACACAAGATATTGAAATCCAAAAACGAACCAGACAAGGATGTCCTTTATCATCATTGTTATTCATTTTTCCATTAATGGAGCAAATAAGAGAAAATGACTCAATCAAGGGTCTAAAAATAAAAGAAGAATTTAAAGTTCTGGGGGTTAAAGTTCAAGCCTTTGCAGAAGATCTTGTATTTATGCTAGAGAATCCAATAACGTCAATAGCGACTCTTGTAAAAACAATACAGGATTACGGATTAGTAGCAGGTCTAAAAATAAACTTCAAGAAAACAAACATTTTAACAAAAAACTGTACAAAACAAGCAACAGAGAAAATTCAAGTGTTATCTAAGATGGAAATAGTAAAAAAGGTCAAATATTTAGGAATAACAATATCAAATAGAAATATCACGCCGCTAGAAGACAACTACAATAAATTGCTGATGGAAATTAAAAAAGATTTACAAAAATGGAAGGAATTGAAAATTTCATTTATGGGTAGGATAGCAGCTATTAAGATGAATGTGTTACCTAGATTTCTATTTTTGGCCCAAAACATACCAATTCTAAGGAAAAGAAGCTATTTTCAAGAGTGGGGAAAAATCTGCAATAAATTTATATGGAATAACAAAAAAACCAAGAATTAACCGTAAAAACATGCAAGATAGAAAAGAAACAGGGGGGTTTGGGGTACCAAACTGGAACTTATACTACAAAGCAGCAGCGTTAACATGGATTAAAGACTGGATAACACTAGAAAACATTAGATTATTAAATCTGGAAGGCCATGACCTATCAATGGGATGGCATAAATATGTATGGTACGAAGAAGAGAAATCCCCAAGGAGATTTATATAGCATACAATAAGAGGCGCTTTAATGATAATATGGAAAGACATAA